TTACATCCTACAATGTGGAATCTGTTTATAGGACAGACATGCTGGGGGTGGGGGTCCTGGTGGAGCTGGTAAGTGCTTTCATCACCATCGTTTTTTTACAATATAAAGATTGTCACCAAAGGGGCTCTTTCACAGACCCATATCTTCCAGAGTATTTCTGTTATCTAATAAATGGGTCTGGAGAGGGAAGGCTGAGAACCATCACATTTTCACAGCTACAACTAATTTGAGATCATATGTAAAGAGCAATAATATTTTACACTATAATAAGCCAAAATGAAAATGGGATTAAAATGAATTCATCAATTTACTCACAAACCTTCTGTAATGGGGCAATTATGAAGTATCTCATAATGTGTTTTGGCTACAAATCTATTTAATGGTAAAGAGATCTGGGACGAGCACACGAGGAAATTTTAAATATCTCCTCCTTGACACAGAGAAAGGGAGTCTGGCAACCAGAATGGAGAAACTGGTTTTGTTATTCTGGAATTCATCCCTAGACAAGTCAGCTCTTAGTGACCTGTACCATTTGATTGCCCATGAGCTCCCTATGCTTAGTCTCTACAGGGAGTGAGGTGCCATCTATCTCTCAGGGCACTGGGCAAAGGTATGTTGTGGCTTGGTGTTTTATGACCCTGCGGGGCAAGCAGAAGCTTGCTTAGAGCACACACTGGCAGGTAAAACACCTTTGCCTTTAAATCCCAAGTTATTTCTGCCAGGGCAATGGCAGGTGCCAGTGAGCAAAAGCAAACAGACCGAGTGGTGGTGGCAGCCGCGCCAGCCTCGCCAGGAGCGTTCCTGCAAGCGGCACCATGGAACTCCTACATGCCAAGCAAGGCTAAATACAGCCTCTCTCCTGACACTGCACCATTCATCACAGCATTAATTGGGACAGAAGTTTAAGGACTTCTAACTGAAGTCTGTTTTCAATAATGAAGGCTACATGGGTCTGAAGAAACCCCAAGGATCTTGGTCTCTCTTCCCTTCAGAAAGACCTGCTTAGACTCATAGGAAGATGACTTTTCATGAGGTTGGGAGAGAGGCTAGTGATGCATTGAAAGCTGTGCTCCCCCCGTCCCTCCTCGCCTGCTGCCTCTGCTGCTGCTGCCGCTGCTCCTGCCAACACATTCGCTCTCCTCCCCCACAGAGGGCCCCCACTGCCAGTTCTCCATCCACTGCCACCTCCAGCAGGATTCATGGCTCCATTGCACCTGCTTCATGTGGCTCTCCCAGAAATACACACCTGCTATAAACAACTCTGGGGGAACCTGGGCAAGCTAGCAATGACTCCACATCATGGGCAATCTTTTGGTGGTTCCTTGAGCAGACAGAGCACCCCAATAACCAAGGGGCCAAATGGACGTCTTTTGCAAGTGTGTGGGTTGAACTGTTATTCTACAACTGTGAGTTTGCATTCTGGGCCTCATTAATAGCAACTGTTCTTTTGCTGGAGAGAATTTTAGCCAGAGTGATGAAGAAATGAAAACTTGGAAAAAGCTCCCTGGGAATGCATAGAAAGGAGAGATGGAAGATGTTCAATTAGGGTGGGAGTACAGAAAGTAAATAGATCTGGTAGGATTCTTGGAGGGAGGTTTAAAGGGGAGTCTTCTGTACACAGACAGCAGACACTCAGCAACGAGGACATAGAAACCCCAGTGCTCAGTGGTGATAATTGTGCCTCACACTTGATTAGCTACCTTCCTACCCAGTCTCTGTTTGGCCCAGTCTCATAATAGACCCCAGAAATTGAGCTGTGCCATTAACTGATGTTGATGTACTGAACATAATTCTCAGTGAGTATTCGTACAACGTGATTGAATCATCTAAATTTGTTCTTGACCCCGAAGTTCTGTTGTGCTAATGTAGGGAAGTCATGATGTTCAGAAAAGAAATAGATGGACTTCGATTATGGGAGAAGAGATTTGGCTAGGAGGAAGGGACATGTCGCCTCTCTGTTGGGGAGTAGGAGAGAGCACTGAATACAGGATATAACTTTTTTTTTTCAGATGTAATTTTAAAAGGTTTACCATAGCCTCTATATAGGGAAAGTGGGACTGAATGAGGCTCATAGGCTATGGTCTCTTTTCCTGATGGCTTCATTCAAAAGTGTCAGCTCATGTGCAGTCACACTGACTGGTGCCTTGACAACCTGGCCTGGTAACACAAGGTCTGAATCCTGGCCTGGGGTGATTTATGGAAGATGGCCTCGTTGCTAGAAAGAGTGTTCTTGATGGCTCCAGTCAAGTCTCCTCTTGGGAGTCTTCTCTCAGTCAATGGTCTGAAATTTGGGAAGGCCACTGGAATGCATGCACAATACAAAAATAAGAAATGGGCTGGAGAGGTGGCTCAGTGGCTACTCTTGCAGAGGACCCAGGTTCAATTCCCAGGATCCAGATAGCATGGTGGCTACCAACTGTTGGTACCTCCAATACCCTCTTCTGACTCCGCAGATATTGTACAATACAGGTTCATTTTCACATATGTAGCCAATACACTCATACAGACTTTAAAAATAACAGAAACAGTATTGTTTCTTGATTATGCTGATTATTCTCTTCAATATAATAAAGAAGAATTTCTAGAAAAATGAAGCAAGAAGGTTCCTGAGACGGATATGATACTGGGGAAGCTCCAGGTCAAAGGGTCCTGTGTAGCTGGTAGCTCAGGGCCACAGGCTGGCCTCTCCTCCAGGAACGTGTTAGGGTAATAACAACAGAACATAAGAGATCAAATGAAGACAGAGTTTCTTGACTCTATAAGATCCTTAAATCATGGGTATTTTCATAATAAAAACAGCTCTGAAGGAGCGACTTATAGTGTATTCCCCAAAGGAATCCCAATAGAACTGTGGAAAACATGTTACTAAGCTTATACTCCTGAAAGCTGGCTTTTGAAAGACATTTGGTCATTATTACTGGTGTCTTTGCTAAAGATATATTTGTCACAGTGTTTCAATATTTTTATTTAACAATACTTTAAGATTGCAAGTTTAGGGGGTTGGAGAAATGGCTTAGTAGTTAAGACCACTGGCTGCTCTTGCTGGGGATCGGTTCCCAGAACCTACATGGCAACTAATAACTATCCATAACTCTAGTTCCAAGGCATCCGATTCCCTCTTCTGGCCTCCTCGAGCACTGCATGACTGTCTGCACTTGTATACATGAAGGTAAAATATTCATACACATGAAAAAGTTAACAAGAGTGGAAATTTAGAACACCAGTTCTAAGGATATAGTAAAAACCAATGGATTTCTCTACAGATCAGCTTAAAAGGTCAGTTATACATGAGAACATTGATTCTTACACTTACCACAAAGGATCTAGAGATGAAATAGAAAATATACTGACATAGAAAGAACATGAAACAGGAAATCAGAATCTCAGTTCTGAAATTAGAATGAAGGCTTTCACACACTGTCCCTTTACTTACAAGCTGCTGTTTTGTGTGTCATACGAGGAAATGAAACACACGGACTGTGGTAAACCACTATTCTTTAAACTCTTCACTCACAGAGATTCTTTTGGAGTCACACTGAAGCATGTTGCTTGGTACTGTTCGTTTATCATGACAAACTGGGCTTCCTGGATTTGAAGCATGGGCATTTCATTTTACTTCATGCTATCTGCTCATTTCTTCTTATACTTAAGGGTTTTTCATATTCAATGATGTCTTGGCATATTTTGAAAACGGCACATATTTAGCTCCTAAAACCATAACATTTTGTCTTCTTCTCACAGGCTTTTCAGCCGGAGAGCATCCTGATGACTCCCTGGGGCAATCCCTGCTCAGTGCTTGTGGGCTGATAATTCTCTTGCCTGATGACCCAAGCCTGGGGGATGGTGGAGTTCAGGCTCAATCCCAGTACAACTGGTATGATGGGTTAGAATCCATCAGTTCTCCTAATTTTTTTTATTACGTACAATTCTTTTTAAATTTGTATTTATTATTTTAATTTTATGTGTATGAGTATACTGCCTGTATGTAAGTGCACCCCTGTCATGTAGTACCTGTGGAGGTCAGCAGAGGGTGTTGGATATCCTGGAACTGGAGTTATAGATGGTTGCTGTCATGTGGGTGCTGGGATTCGAACCCAGGTCCTCTGCAAGAGCAGCTAGTGCTCTAACCACTAAACCATCCTTCTAACCCTATATACAGTTCTTATTTCTATAATATTATAAAGGCACTTCTAGCTGGGCGTGGTGGTGCACGCCTTTAATCCGAGCACTTGGGAGGCAGAAGCAGGCAGATCTCTGTGAGTCTGAGGCCAGCCTGGTCTACATAGTGAGTTCCAGGACAGCTGGGGCTACAGGGAGACCCTGTGTCAAAAAGACCAAAAAAAAACCCACTTCTGAGACAAAGAACATCATGTTTTTGTGTCTCTCATGGAACATGAGGCTATGCCCGCCATAAAGCAAGCTCCCAGGAGGTAGAAAATGAGTAATGGAATTATGTTGTACACCAGAGGGGACCAGCCCAGAAAGAGAGAAGCAACTTCATGTGTCATGTTAGAGTACATGCACATTTTCTAGTGCGTATATCTGGCATTACTGAAGTTCTCCTTCTCTTTCTCTCTCTCTCCATCTATCTATCTATCTATCTATCTATCTATCTATCTATCTATCTATCTATTAGTTCTTTGACAAACTAGAAAATTACATCTTCTAATTTTATCTTGACATCATTCCTATGCAATATTGAGGGACATATTGAATTATTCCCATTTAGTGAGTTTGCAAAGCAGAAATCAGGCAAAGAGACTCACTTATTTGCTTGTAGCTATACAATTAGTTCTGGTCTGCAAGACGATCCCCAAATACTCCTCATACTCAGTTTGCTATCTTATCCCTAGGACCACATTGCTGCTTTTCACATACGAAAAGTTTTCATACATTCAAGCTTTAAGTGAAGAAAACTGACAGGCAGATTAGGAAACAATTTTCAGCATATTAACCAGATAATCTGACGGTTGGTTATTGATGCTAAGTTCTTACCGTCACCGTGAAAGTGTGCACAGCTGAACTGCTAAGTGCTGGCTCCTCTGGTCTCTTTCGGTAGGTCACATGGTACCTGGTGATAACACCATTGGGAGACTCTGGTTCTGTCCAGCTCAGCAGAGCTGAGTGAGCACTGGTGGCCCGAGCCCAGGGCACTTGCCGTTTGTGAGGTGGGGCTTCCTGTGTCTGTGCTGATGACCAGAGGCTGTCCACAGAGCCCTTGGAGTTCTGGGCTCTGACCCGGTACTCATATGGTGTGAACGGCCTCAGAGTGTCTGCACTGTTCGTGAATTCAAGGGCTCCTTCTGACCACTCAAACACAAGAGACTTCTCTTCCGCACCAGCAGGACGTCTGCAAGGGAACCAGACAAGGCAATGTAACACCAGAATGCTTTACAGCGGGGTTTGGAGACAGGGGAAGAAGCTGCTGTTGGGATCTCCCTCCTCATTCCTGATGCGTTGGGATCTCCCTCCTCATTCCTGATGCTGAAGGATGAAAGTCATTTTTATAATGAATAAAGGTCAATTCAGGTCATTTTCTTAGTGTAGTTGACAACCTGTTCATGATTCTAAAAGTCCATATAGGGCTGGAGAGATGCTCAGCAGTTAAGAGCATGGGCTGCTTTCACAGAGGACCCAGGTTCAGTTCCCAGCACCCACATGGCAGTTAACAACTGTCCATAACTCCAGTTCCAGGGGATTCAATACCCTCTTCGGACCTCCATGAGCATTGCATGACATGGTGGTGCACTTTCACACACGCAGGCAATACACTCATACACATAAAAGTAAGAAATAGTTTTAAAAAGTGAAAGAACAGAGAAAACATGCAAAATACAAAAGAAAAATTAAAAAAAAAGGAAACCATTACTGTGCTGGTTAATATGGTCAACTTGACAAAATCTAGACTCTCCTAGGACATAACCTCTAGGCTTGTCATGAGGAAACTCTAGATTGCATTATCTGAGCTCAGACGATCATCCTAAAATCAGGTGACATCCTGTGGGCTGCACCTGGACTGAGGAAGAGAGAAGCTGAGCACCAGCGTTCATCTCTCTGTTTCCTGCCTGTGGGTGCCTGTGACACTCCTGCCACCGGGCCTCCCTGCAGTGATGGAGCGCACCGCACCTCGAACTGTAAGACAAAATAAACTCTCCTCTCCTTACAGGCCTTTTCTCAGAGCTTTGGTCAGGGCCACGGGAAAGGTAACTAATACAGTTACCTTGTCCTAGTTACTTACTATTGTCCTAGTTAACATTGTGACTGAAACAAATTTGGGGAGGAAGGGGTTTATTTGATCTCACATCTCTCAGGGCACAGTTCATCACCAAGGAAAGTCAGGGAAAGAATCTGAAAACCCGAAGGCGGGAGCTGAAGCACAGACCATGGAGGGACGCTGCTTACTGGCTTGCTCCCCTGGTCTGTGCTCAGCCTGCTTTCATATACAACACAGGACACCTGCCCAGAGGGATGGGCTCTCTCACATCACTCAACAATCAAGAAAATGCCCCACAGACATGGCCACAGGCCAGTCGTAGGGCAGTAGTTCTCAGCTGAGGCTCCCTCTACCCAGGTGTGTCAAGTTGAGGCCTGAAGCTATCCAGCACTCCCGTAATCATATTTTGTTACGTTATATTGTAGACTTCCTTTTTAAAAATGCACACAGTGCAAGAAACAAAGTATATCATTTTTAAAATGATAAGATACAGGGCTGGAGAGACAGCTCAGTGGTTAAGAGCACTGGCTGCTTCTCTTGCAGAGAACTGAGGCGGGTTCAGTTTCCAGCACCTACCTGGCAGCTAACAACCATCTAGAACTCCAGTTCCAGGGGATCCAATGCCCTCTTCTAAGGCCCATGTGCATTGCACGGCACAGGTGCACTTATGTACGTGCAAGCAATACATTCATACACATAAAAATAAAAATGAAATAGAAAATTATAAGATACAGAAGTGTGTATTAAGCAGTAGTAACACATCTTTCTGTACTTTTTATGTCTGTGTTCATGTGTATGTACACAGAACCAAAGATTATGTAACAGAGGCTATTTTGGGGGCCTGTTACCCTTCTGTGATAAGTGGATTGCAGTGTGACTCTAGTTTGTTCAAACCTTTCTGTACCCCGGTGCTTTGTTAGGACTGCCCCACACCCTTTGACCTTGCCCATAGAACTCTCTGGATAATAGGATGTTGACTGATATGTGGCCTAGACTTCAAAGCCCTGGTACAGCAAGGCTGACCCTCTTGCTGTCGTGGAAACTGGGGGTCACTGTGCCAAGACACTCAGGTGGCCCCCACTGGAAGACAGACTCTGAGAATCCCAGGCCTGACTGCATTTCCCTGCTGGGTGGGTGGAAAGTGTCTCCCTTGCCTCCCACCGCCACTTCTTTTCTCTCTTTCAATTCTTTCTTAATTAAACCGTAACCCATCACAAAAGGACCATTCTCTTCTTTATAGACTTGCTGTTATCATAACCAGCAAACTCTCACAAAGCACTCACACCCCAGCCTTTGACTCGGGAGCAAGTTTACAAGGTGAACATGTTCCACTAGGAGGAACAGAGTTGCAGAGAAAACAGACCTGTATGCAGATTAATAAAAAAGGATATGCTAAGAGCTGGGGTAGAAATGTGACTTTAAAAATACTATTTTTATTTTCATGTGTAAGAGTGTATGACCTGCATGTAGGTCTGTCCATATTGTGCAATGCCCATGGAGGTCAAAAGATGGCATCAGATCCCCTGGAGCTGGAGCTATGGAGGGTCTTTGTTAGCTGCCACATGGGTGCTGAGAATTGAGAGTCCAGGTCCTCTGCAAGAGCAGTGAGTTTTCTTAACCACTGAGCCACCTTTCCAGCCTGAGAAGTGAATTCTTTCAGATGTCTGATGTCTCCTCTAAAACTCAGCTATTGACCATTGATGGCGTCTAGGGGAGGGAGTCAGCTTTTCTTTAAGGGTGCGGCTCTTGTAGGTCCACCATGCTCCAATGGGTGGCTCCATGCCCAGGAATATACGGGCAGCACGAAGTGGCGTACTGGGTTTTTTTTTTTTTTTTTTTTTTTTTTTTTTTTTTTTTGACAGAGTCTCCCTGTAGCTCCAGCTGTCCTGGAACTATGTAGACCAGGCTGCCTTGAACTATGTAGACTAGGCTGGCCTTGAACTCACAGAGATCCACCTGCCTCTGCCTCCTGAGTGCTGGGATTAGGGTAAGGCTTGGGAGGTGGGAGAGGATTTGGAGTGAACATAATCAAAATACATTAATAAAATTCTCAAAGAATTCATAAAAATATTTTTTAAAAGCTATGAGAGTCCAAATTCTTCTGAAAACTTTCTTTTGGCTACTTGAGAATGGGATTATCATTAGGCCTATTATACTTTAGACTTTGCTGATATCAAACTCAGGTCCATGCACCTCCTTTTGGTACTGAATATATAAAGAACTGAACACTGAAGAGAAATGGTATCACCAGTTAACACTGGGAAGCAATTTCTGCTCATCTAGGTGTAAAATCACAATACGCATCTAACAGGAGGGAAGTTTCCGAGGAACTGTGCTTGGCGTATCTCCATAATGCCAGCATCCGAGCTATAAAAGTTCAAGGTTTTATTTTTCACGAGTGCCTAAAAGGCTTATGTTCCATGATTTTTCTGCCTCAGCCCTATCCATTCTTACATTCTATTTGGTAAAAACTTAGGTTGAGGAAGAATCCAGTGAAGAGATGGACTTTCCGCTTTTAGCTCAATCTCTAGTGGAGAAGGCAGTGATGAATAAATCAATGTTTTTCCAGGCTGTTAGGAGTCTGTAATTAACACCCTCCTCAGATGCTGCAAAACTCACATGCTGCCACAGCAGATTAGCTGGCCCCATCAAAACTCAGAGGGTGATTAGGACAAAGCAGATGACAGCACCTTTCACACACACACACACACACACACACACACACACACACACACAAAAGCAGGAGATATTAGATCTTTTGCTTTGGGAATTTGATGCTTCTCGGGTTGATCAATCACTTTGACCTAAGGATGGGCTTCCTGCTGGAGGGTGGAGAGGTTTCCCAGGTCTCTCTCAGTGACCCGCAATTACAGTTCGGCAGCCCACCTCATTATGACCTGCTACCGTGCATGGACCAGATTCCGCACTTCATGAAGGACTGCAGAGTCTGGCCTGCTGCTTGTATTAGGTACCAGGTGCATGATGAGGAGGGATCAACTCTAATGAGAACCCCGGGGCTCACAGCCAAGGACTCCTCTCGGAGTTTCGAAAACTGTCTGTGAGGGATGTGATGCTGTAAACAAACCTATTGAAGCTCCATGGGAAAATGTTTTCCCCCTTGTTTCACTTTGCTCTTACTATGACAATTCAATTAATTTTCATTAAACATCTCATGAATCCCCAAACTGAGAGGAAGCCATGGTTTTTATAAAACTGATATTTAAAAAATGCCTGGAGGGGAATTTTAAAAATCTACTCTATTTGAGAAATTCAATTTGATGTTAGTTTCAAGTTTTTTTGTTTTTTTTTTTTGTTTTTTTTTTTTTCACTAAAGTAATGAAAGGCAGTCTGGTAAAGTATTATTCTTATTGATTATTTAATAAATTAGTACCATAGATGAATATGTATTACATCTATGCTTGGGATCTCTTTGTGTCTGAACTGCTTGAGGTAAACACAGTCTTTCCTACTTATTTAGATTCGGGCTTCAAATATTCAAGTAAGCGGCTGTGCTCCTGAATAGTGTGATAAGGGATCACACTTTCTGCTCCTCTGAATGGCCACATGGCCATTTTTACAGTTTATTCAGGAGATACCTTAGTCATTTATTTTCCAACAAAACTAATTAAACATTACCGAAGAATAAGAAGTAGTGGAAGATTTCCTTTGAAAACACTTAAAATTAGCTTTATTTTTATGTGTATGTGGGTGGGTACATGCATGTCACAGTGTACGTGTGAAGGTCAGAAGACAACTTGTGGGAATTGGTTTTCTCCTTCCACCATGTGAGTTCCAGGGTTTGAACTCAAGCTCTCAGGCTTGGTAGCAACATGAGTCATCTCACCGACCCAGGAAGGATGTCTTTCTTAAGAACTCCACATTCTTTCTTCCAGACCAGCAACTGTTGCTATTTATCTCCAAGAGCAATGCAAACAAAATCCTAGAATCTAATGCCTTTCCTCTATAAATAATTTTAAGATTATGGGATCGTCACTCTACAGTACGAAGACTATTAGAATATTTCGAGTTTACAGAAGCAGACAGAGGAGAGGAGTGGGACTGATGACACTGGGCGAACTTGCCTGTTTTTCTAGCTTCCGTTTCATTTTTGTGTTCTGTGTGTTGCTGTGTATGCA